AATTTCTTATCCAGACTTACAGACGAAAAGTTATGGACCATTCGTTTCGGATCTGAAGGGAACTCACCATTCGGTTTGGTAGGGTTGACGCGTTTTCGTAGTTTGGCACATACCTACTCGACTTGCCCGTCAACTATTGACTGAACGTAGGCAACGAACTTATCATTTTCTTCTGGGGTCAGCTCGTCCAAAACTTCACACGACTTCACAAAATCACGCTCCATTTCTGGCACGCAACTTGATATGGCTGTTGCTGTTGTGTTTGTAGGTCAATTTGAATAGTGTATTGCCTTCTGAAACAAGCTTAAATGCGGTCCCGTGCAAAGCAAAAATCGAATAGTGCACTCCGTTTGCAAACTGCACCAGTCACCTGTAGCATCACATGAAAACGGCTCCGATTATCTGAGGCTAATCCAGGGTTTCAGTTGGAAAACCATTTCTATAGTTTTCCGTTCAGTGGGAATCTTTACTCAAAATGATTGCATTGGTGAAAATTATCACCAGCATGTGTGAGTGATGAAGTCGTCAGACCCTCATTAGGAATGCCGAAAAATATCAGATTCGAGCATTGAACAATGAACACTGGTCGTGAAAATTCTATGATAAACTCTTGACCGTTTCTCCCAAGCTGAGGCTTGATGGCTTCTTTGGTAGAATGGAATTCGTGTAGTGACCACGAAGGACAAATTCGAGTTTACAGAAGTGAGACTGGATTTTTCATGCATCATCGTATGATGCGAGATTCAAAGAGGAAATATCTTCGCACACATTTCACCACCAATGCAAATTGGCTGGTTCATGCATATCAAGCTGAAACGGAGTAATGCTAACACTGATGTGCTGATCCGTGGACAGTGAACTACCAGCTACGGAAGTCCAACCAATTGATGAATTGGACAATTCGCTCTTGAGGGCCTGCATCAGTTTTGGAAATTGTTGCAACACTTGCTTTAAAGCAGCACGTTCATCAATCACCTAAACTGAGATGCCTTGAGAATACCTTGCTTTCTTCACGGGTTAATTGCCTTCGAGTCAATGGTGCCTCTGTCACTCCAATGTTCTTCGGACAATAACAATCATTGTTGCACTATGTGAATTGATTTTGGTGGTAAACTCATAGGTCATTTGCAATGCAAACGATAAATCACATATTCCGATGGCAACATGCAGTAGTCACACGCAGCACCATAATGAAAACGGGTCCAACTTTCTCAAGCATAAACTGGGACTTCGATGGGAAACCATTCGGAGAGTTGGCTTCAGTTGTCACTGTAGGATGTCGTTCCGTGAGAGTGAGCATATTCATAGTTGGAGGTGATTTCCTGTCCACCATCGGTTTAGCTGGAAATGCCGGTTCTATCAGTCGACCAACAGATCATACTTAGATAGTTATTGTTCCGAACAACGCATAGAAATCGATGCATTGTGGTTTGATATGAAAGCATTTATTGGCAACAAATGACCACGGAGTTGGTTGGTGTTGATCAACCAGTTATCCTCGTTGAATTCAAGCCTCGACATCATGGGGTTCAATTTCTGCTGCACCTGACTAATTCACATTCGATGGTCATGAATTGGTCAAAGTTTCTATCCACAAATAGTGTAATTCGTGATACAATGAATAGAAGAAGTAGTACAAAATGATTTTTTAATTTTAAAAGTGGCTGAATAGTTAAAATATAAAACAGCCACATAAGATGACTCTCAGATTCGTCCTAGTAGTAAGTGTGGAGTTGTTTGTGGATATTTCATGGAACTAGTTAAATCGATATCAGTGCAACTTTCTCATTTCACTGTGAATTCAGAATGTATACGTCAGTCAGTGATTGATATCAGTTTATCTTGATACCGTATTGCTAAGCAGCCTGATAGTTGTAAGTGGTACTTTGTAGTGGTGATCCAATGGAAGTTCACAAATGGACGCAAGTGAACTGATCAATCTACAAATGAAGTGATTGATCGCGAAATTTGCAGGATTGTTTCAAAATATACCAACATTAATCGTGTTTGCAATTGAGTAGTAGGATATTATATTTGTATAACATGATTCATCATGCAGCATCAACGCTCAACTCACCATTGAAAACGAAGAAAGCACTGTACAGCTGTTTCATCCTTGTCGGGACTCATCAGCAGTGCACATCCACCAAGCCCCCACGTGACAGTGCTTCCATGGTTTTCAACGGTGAGTTTAGCGTTGCATTTGCATGATGAATTATAATGTGCACTGCTGATGGGTCCCAACAAGGATGAAATAGCTGTAGAGTGCTTCCATGGATTTCAATGGTGATTTGAGCGTTGAAGCTGCATGATGAATCATATTATCAATCGTGTTCTCAATCTACTGGTCTTCCTGTGGGTTCCAGTGATATCTCACAGTTTGAACCATCTGGCACATTCCCTTTAGACAATGTCGGATGTCATGGTGATGCCACAGGTGTCGCAAGTTTGCGAAAGCTGTTTTAGCTCTCATTATTCATGATGTAATGGAATATCTAACACAACGTCTATCCGTTACCAACATACGGTGTTACTTGTAGACATTGAATTTGTTCAGCTGACCACCGAAACGGGTGAGTGCGGGCGCAGGGTCCTATTGGTTTTGCAAAAGTGCCTTATATTCGGGATCGCAAATAACATACCCTACGTGGGTATCTCAATCGCCAAGTGGTCCAAAACATATGGCACTGCATTTGAATTTTCACTCAGCACTGCCATTCCGTCGATACGTTCCACGTGTAACAGTCTACTTTCTGGGAATACTTCAACTTCATCATTCAGAAGACCGGAACATGCTCTATCGCAAACTTGGTAAAAAATGGGATGCTGGATAAGCTTGCGACCCATGTCGGGGAAAACTAGAGAGGTTAAAGGCTGGTCGTGGGCCCTAACTTGATCTTCTTTGAGGGGATACAAGTTATTGAGGATTGATCCATGCTCTTCACTTACTCACTATCTAAACAAATTTCCTAAATTGCCGTACTCTCTACAGATTTGAGGGCCGCTTGAATGTCTAGGAGCATGATGGTCGGCTGTCATTGGAAAGTATGGTGGTGTTCTAACAGCCTTTCGATTGTGTGGATTTGATCGATGCATTCATGACCGGAGTAAAACACAATCTGCTCTTCGCGAATCTGCTTTTGAAGCGTTTTGTATAAGCTGAGAAGTTTGACCAACACAAGCAGTTTGGGTGTTCTAAGCATAAAACCTATAGTACCACGGTTGGCACGGTCACAGCGGAAACCCATTTTGAAGGTGAATCTATTGTGCAATTTATTTGTATTTGCATACCCCGTAATTCTTAGCCTACATTTTATCTTAGAAGCAAATATTACACAGATTCAACCACCCTAAATGAGAGCAAAGTTTCAATATCCTAATTGTCCACTGATGATCTAACGTGGCGAAGTTAAAGCACTAAAACCCGACTATGCGTTGAGAAAAATGTTCAATGCATCTCAACCGATTTTACCTGTACAATAATTGGAGAGGCTAACCTGTGTCTTGAAGTGCTCCACCCAGCTTTTGAGACTCCGAGCTTCAAACACATTGTATCCAAAATAGAACAGTCTGCATATCCTTGCGTGACATGAAATCGACGGTATTCAGATGCGTCTAGAGCATAGCTAGTCGATAGCATGACACAGTTATGGTAATTTGTAGCCGACAATTCGTCAAATACACTGTCGATCACGAGAAGGCTGCATCTTGGCATAATGCGATGGCTCGAGTGCTTCAATGAACCAAGAGCAATGCAAGATGGATTTATTAGGCCGAAGATGCGACCACATCAGACGGGTGAATGGGTGAAGATTTCAGCCGCTGGACGAGGTTGGGGTCCACGAGATCCGCATACCAGAGTGTTAGAGACATTGAGCGATATGGTTGTGTCTCGAAAAATAGCCCAATTGCATTCGAAAGCTCTTATTATTTTCGAGAATATGGCGGATTGCATTGGTATCAGCTCTTCATGACCATAATCTCCCATTCATCTTTTCCTCAATTCGACGATTCTGGGATGAACTAACCGAAATCAGAGCACATAAGTGCGGGGTTGCTGAGTGAAGTGAAGTGAAGTGAACTGAACTGAACTGAACTGATTTGAGTTGAACTGAACTGAACACCAGCTCTGAGTGCAGTGCCTGTTTGATATCTCTGGATTCCACGCCAAATTCCCTTGTGGTACCATGCATTTTTGCTTGAGTTTGAACTCAACTTGAGTATAGTGGACTGATCTTGTATTAAGACGCATCAATATAGGTTTCATGGTATTTGCAATCTGCGTGCAGCTTATCTGAGTCAACCTTCCTGTAATAAAAGCTTTTCAGTTCGGCACGCTTCTCGATTTCCAACTAATGCAGATTTCCAAATTTCATTCACATCTCATATCGGTCAAATTCCGTTTCGTTAACCGTAATATATGGACCCCTTCGTAGGTGATCAGATAAATCGTGGGGACTCTTCTCTTCGACAGCTCCTTCATAATCTGGAATAACAATTCTCATAACTCTGTGGACGACAAGTCAACAGTTCGAGACCGACGGAATATAAACACCTGAGTCGATTCATCCGAGGTATATAATGCCAGAAATCTATAGAGCAAAGCAGCATAAACTCGTGGATCAAAAAGGAAAGTGAGACGATTCAAAATGATTGACTACTGTGAACGTGGCTCAAAGGAACTCAACAATGAGATCAGAGGCGCAAACTAATCGTATATATATATATATACAAAACTCAGCAATTTATGGGCGTAATACTGTGCTAGTTTTCGAAGCACAATAATTAGTCTTTTTCACATTCCACTTGATTATCATCTGACATATAATAGCCACTACTATTAGGCGACGAAACAGACGTACACCGGTGACTGATACTTTATTACACTACACTACAAAATTTCGAGATAAAATGAGAGTGTTCCATTTTGAAAACCGAATTTGCTCGCGATCAACATGTCCATATTATTGTGTTTGAAATCTTGTACAATCTTTAATCAGTGGCACTCACCAGCGAACCGTCCCCTTCGAATGTTCAAGAGAGAGATAACAGTGAGAAATCGAATAACCAAGAGTGGCGGATATATGACGGTGAGTTGTTCAAATAGTTTCCCATAACCATAGCCATCAATTAACTGTCCGATAAAATGGGATATCATGAGTAATTTGTAATCACTGCTCACTTGAGCGCGAAGATAACCAAAGAGCATAGCATAGCATACTGTCACACGGACCCTCTTCGCCATCTGTGAGACATGGCAAGAACAAGTGACATTTGTAGTGGGAAACCACACTTAACTCCATCAGATCCGGTGGGGTATAGATCCTTGTGAACACCAAATTTTGTCCATCACAAACGTCATTCTGATCAGGACAGTTTCTCGGAGTTAGCATCTCTGGCTTGTTGGTAAATGGGCTTGTACTCCTCGATCACTGCTTGATCACAATGATGCGAGCAGTGTCGCAAAACGGGAAAACTGAGTGCTTGTGAAATGCTAACCGAGAGCACGATTTTCTCTCCAATAAACCAATTCTAATTGAAAACAGGAAAAGATGGCATAGTTTACTACCAAATAATCTGTATTCAAGTCATGCAAATGAGTTTCAGTGATTGGATCTCATAGGAAATTTCAATTTCTCATTGATCAGACGTGAAATCCGTGTGGATATTTAACCAGTGCGTCACCGGTACTGAACTGCCTAAACTTTCGTAAACAGGTAACCATTGTTAGGGTGATTGTTGTTTTTGGTAATACATAATTCATTTCAAAATGCTTTCCGTGTCTGAGTGATACTGAGATTATTGATTGATCCCACTATTTTCGCCTTGTGTTCTCAAGATCCGGAACTGATCAACTTTGGTGCGAAAAAGCATTTGAAGGAAACGGATGTGCCGGTCGAGGCCAAATTGGCAACAGACAGTAAGTTGATAATTGCGCAAGTCCGTTCCTTAGATTAAGCTGGTTGACATTTTCTGACGAGTTTCCCTTCACATAGCTTTCACGATGACAGTGACGTTTGTGAATGCAGCTCTTGAGTAGGAACTGCGAATTGCTGAAGTCTCATATCTGCCGTTACTTCGTTTTCTGGTCGCTTTTGTCGCTAGACAACAGGAGAAGAAACATTCTCGAACATGAGTCTGAATGCATTCGTTGAGCGCGCCAGAATTTGAGACAAGCATTTCGACAAACTGCTTCGAAATTCCCATCACTGCATCATTTTATTCTAGTATCTTTCCAATGTCTGATCTTCAATGTTGATATAAAGGTGCACAAAATTCTCGGCAATCCACGGTGACTTGTCAGAAGTTGAACATTGTTCCAAGACCGATTGAGATTCGGTTTGTATCGTATATAAGATGCGCCATTACACTTACTATTTCAAATGCTAACGGATTTGACAGTTATATTCAAGGAATAACACCAGAAGCCTAAGACGACCCTGATGCATAAATCACACTCGTCCATCCGGGATCAACTGCATGGCTTTATCGGAATTAATCTCGTCACAAATTCGAGCTGACAATGTTGATGAGAGAAGCTCGGTGAAAATTTGACTGCGTTTCATTTAAACAGCCATTTATGACAAGCAATTCAGATCGGAACCCTTATCGACGGCACTCGTTTACTTAGTGTATTGGATTATTCATATGAAAGATCAGCAATTCCGGAGAATTTGCTCTTCAGTATAGTAACGAACTTTGGAAACCAACAACGGCTATATTGACCGGAATGTTGATCGCCATTTGGCCCGTGAAAATTATTTTTGCAATTCACTAGAAAATGCACGAGTGATCATAATGCGCCCATAGAATACGTTCGAGAGCTGCTGGTGAACGCGTCTCCTATTGGGTTTAGCAGCAGAATACCAACGTTATCCCCTCTATCGGACGAATAAAGAAAACGCAAGTCGGTTTACAGATGCGAGGTGTATTCTATATATCGTGGCACCGAAACAGTACCGATACGAGAGATACAACAAACGGAAAACGAAACGCAACGGCTGTGCAGAAAGCGAACCGTGAGCTTGTACAATCAGCGAACGACCGAAAGCGAAAGTGATTCTTTCGACTTCTAAATCATGTACACATTGGAAACATTCTTGGGTGCTCACATACTTCCCCTTTAATCCACAAACTTTCACATGCAGCTTTTTTGCTTAGAAGACAAAACCGATGTTCGTGATTGAACAATGATGAATTTTAAGGGTACTGTCAAATGTGGGCGAGAAATGAAAACCATCTCGTCAATCTACGTTCACCACTCCATGTAGCCAACCAGACAGATGTCATGATTGGTGGACGTCTACCAGACCACAAATCGATGGATATTTCCTGATACACATTCTCAGCTACATGTAGTGTGTTTCACGCTGTTCACTATACCGGGACAGAACACGTCGCTTTTCGACAACAAGAGCGGAACCGTTAACAGAAAGAAAGGAGGCGGTTCTGTGTTTGTTCATCGTCCGAGAGAAATGAGGAAGTTTAGCTTGTAGGACCAATGTCGACCTGGATGAAACAGAGAACCCACTGTTCTTCTTCCGGAGAATTAACAGGATAGAAATCAAGTTTTGTTTGATCTTACTAAAGGCGACATGAATCCAGGCATTATCCGGTGGTCTTGAAATTCTCAATATTTTGCTCATAAAGTAGTCCATCATGTAAACGCATAACCACACTACTATTTATTCATGTAGCACAGAAAGTTATAAATATGTATGATACATTCAATTCACACATGGAAAACGTTATTTCGTTACCATTTCATTCCTGAAGTGAATGGTAAAACAGTTTGAGTCTTTTCACATTTGTTCTGGTTGTGTAAGTAAATTTAGTCAAATTTCAGTAGTTTTTAGCTCAAACTGGGTCGTTTCTCTCTCCTATGGGTGCAAAATACGAGTACTAGACAGGGAAGTTTGCGTTATGTTTGTTAAAGATTAGAACGCGAATCCGATCAGTTGCATCAGGGAAACAGGTTGCATTTTGAGGCGTTTTTTGTCTGAGGGTGACTGTGGAAGATACGTTTTGCAAGAAAGTTTGTATTCTGTGCTTTGTTCACGGATGATCTCCCTAATTTGGATTCGGATTCCGTGATTTTCTTTAGACCACTTGGTGGAGTGGTAAAATAAGTTTGCAGTAAACTGCAAAAAGTTTGCCACGGAATGTCATTTTTAATAAATGTCCTCAGAATTCATTGATATCAGGGAATTGCATATGGTTTACCAAAGAAAAAAAATGACTTCTACTTGGTTCAAGAACTAAAAGCTTGAAACTCGTTTGTAAAATATCACTTTTATGCTAGAATGACATATCGGATCAGTCCGGAATTGTTTATTAGGGGTTTGGTGGAGATTCACCCAGGCTGAGACACCATGATCTCTCCCTAGTGTGGATACATAATCAGGCAAGCAATTGATTTGGACATCCGGATATGTTCAATTAGAGAAGGAGCCACACGAGTGAAATGAAACCAGAAATCGACGGAGGAATGAACAAGTAAATCAGACACTAGTGATTTTGATTTCGTGTTCAAAGAATTATGGAAGGTAACGCATCTGAAATTCACGTGTGCCCACTGTCTGTGAGTTGGGAAGGGTCATGTCTAATGGTCACACGTGGTTGCGAGTGTGTGAGAATGTTGTTTTAAGTCAGTTTCAGTGCTGCGAACATCGAACCTGTTTCGAATGAACGGGCCTTGGGGTCAGCTCGTCAAACACTTCAGTGGGAATCTTTACTTAAAATGATTACATTCGTGAAAATTATCACCAGCATGTGTGAGTGATGAAGTCGTCAGGCCCTCACTAGGAATGCCCAAAAATATCGGATTCGTGCATTGAACAATGAACACTGGTCGTGAAAATTCTGTGATAAGCTCTTGACCGTTTCTCCCAAGCTGAGGCTTGATGGGTTCTTCGGTAGAATGGACTTCGTATTCTTGCACATTCCGAGTAACGAAATCAATGAATTCAGCGGTCCCAGAATGTTTTTGCTCCAGGACTTATTTCACTAGACGTGTATTGGATGCAATGAAAACCATGACTTGAGTTGAACTGGGTCTTCGATGTCACACCAGCTCCGTTTACAAACGGAGATAAGCCAAACGTGTTTTGTAATACTTTTTGATAAGCGCACCTGGTTGAGTAGAACGGGAAATTTTGTCTACCCAAGGTTTGAAATAAAATGTTGGCAATGAATTTTCCCTTTTTATTTTCGATCATAATTGATTTCTTGCACTCAATTCCCTTCTGATTCTCCAGGCTCAGCATGATGACTGCCAAGAACATCACCGAAGCAAACGAGTAATGATTGGAAACACTTTCGAGAATCTGTCAAACGCTATGTTTATGAGAACAATTTCACCTTAACTTATATTATTACTCTGATGCAAACAAATTCTTCAATTTGCAAAACCTCATAGCTTGCTGCCTGTCTTTGAATCACTTTGCGTTAGCTATATCCATTTATTTGTTACCAAATGATCTATATCTGCTCACATACAATAAAAGTTTGCTTCCCAAATGAGACGCCAGTTCGATTTCAGTGATATAATTGATGCCCAGAATGAATTCTCGTGGTCTTCCAAACTAATATTTGAACTCAAACCCTGTCCAGTTTAATTTTTTAAATCCAGCAAATTTGTGTCAATTCAAGTTGAAACCGTGTGCCTGATCGTACAAAATGATAGCATTTCAGAATTATCTGCTTTAACCCATGGTGAAATTTGGCTGTATGCTAAGTAATGAAGGAGTTTGGGTTTATCAAAAGTCTTGCAATGTTAGTACGGTTCAAGTTTTACGTGGGTCAAGTTGATTGTCATTTTGGCCGAGGCCAGATTCGGTTGCGCGTACAGTGGTAGTTCACATGATGCGGAAATTCGACGTTCACGACATGTAAGATAAGTAATAACGGAACTACAGAAACAAGCGGCCTTCACAGGTGGGAGCTATGGCTAGAAGTGTCAGATTTCTCGAGGGGCAATAAAACCTTGAGAAACTTCGTGAAAAAAGGCGTACATGTATACGGACAGACTGAAATATATTCAGCAGATTTGTGGTTAGCTGGGGCAGCAGTCGCAGGGGTGGCAGTAGTAGTTGTCGGTGTTGTTCTTGAATTTTGAGTAGTAGTAGTGCTGGCAACCTTAATAGTAACAGTAGCACTGGTATTGGTCGTAGTAGTTGTTTTGTTGTTCAGATCTGACCCACGCCTTTCGGGAGGAAGTCTCCTTCAGTTGCGAACCATCTCAGTTCATCACTACATATTAGGATGTTTATAGGGGATGCTGGACAACCAAAACAAACTAGTGCACGAAACTCTATTTTTCTTACTGGCTTGGCGGTTGTTTCTTGTGTTTGACTGTAATTCCGGTCAACCAGACAGGTTTCATTCCTTATTTTGACCACCATTATCATCGAAACACTGTGAGCAATCTAATCATTCGCGGATCCGTTGATCCCAGTCTTCGTATCGATGTCGATCAGATGATGCCAGCGCAAAGACAGGTTTCGTAGTTTCAACTGATTGAAAATTGATGTTCCATAGACAGCAGTCTGGTGGAGTATGCCATATACTACTTCGAAATAGCCTAGTTGATCAATAACAATGAAGGTCACTGGAGCCATGTGAAAGGCGATGAAGTCACGTGGTAAGAACACAGGCAGCAATGAAAAGGATTACGAACTTACGAAACCTACAATAACAATGCCCGACTGAGCGAGAACAGGATTACCGTTAATGGTTTTTATATATACAAGGGGGAAATTCGGTTCTACTTTGGTCATTTGCGTCTACAGATTTCCCTGTCCTTTAGTAGCCTTTTTGCACAAATTCATCAGCATCTAGCATACATTCAGTAGGCAGTGTCGATCGTTTACCAACCACGGACGATTAGCTTTTAGTCCCAGTTTATAATACAGTAACCAGACGCTTCTGACGCATCCGCACAGCAGAAAACCACATCTGGTCACGTGGCTCGCGTAGGGCTACCAAGCCCCGTAACTGGTCCCGAAAATCCAAGTGACGTGACATTGTACGGTATGGCTGTGTCAGAAATGTTCGCTTACGTAGCCCGTGTTGTGTCAGTGGCTGCTTCTATACGATCGGCAGTGGATACTAATCGATGGTCAGTGGTCACTGAACAACAAGAAAGCTAGTAATTAAAATGCGGCACTTCAGCGATCAGTGTGCAATCACTTTTCACTTTTTCTCTACCATAATGATGCGTTCTGCAAAACTATGACGCTGTCCTCCCGATATGAATAATTGCAATTTTTGCGTTGCTGCAGTGTTAGGTTTTCATGGGACTGAGTATTTAATACCAGACACGAGTTGCAGGGTAGAACACGGATAGTCCAGTTACAATTTAAGAAAATGTAGCCTCACTCCGTAATTGGTGGTGAATATATCATCGGTCAGGCACATGATTTCGAAAGGATTTGGCTGCTTAACGACGGAGTCTCTTAAAAATTAGAAGTTACATTTGAAGAGATCACTTCCACACAATTTCATAACCGTGGGTAAAATGTCTAGCGAAGAGTGCACAATTCTGTTGGAATAACAACAATGAAAACAGAACAACTGAGCTGAACACAAATGAGAATTAATTCTACTGCGTTTTTGAATACAAAATATAAGCATATTCGTACATCTGTTCATTTCCATACAGTGGGTAGTTAAAATGTTACGACAAATGTGCACAAAATAGTGATTCTCCCGAAAGCACCAATTTACTTGCACGGGATAAGCTGCACGGAAACAGTTGCATGTGATCATTGATTATTCATCTGCAGTCCTGTACGAAGGAAATAACTATGGAACTCCCACGTTAATGTGGTTCGTTCAGACCCCTGCAGTCATGTGTCGTTTTAATGAGTGTTACTATTCTCGTCTAACTGCACAAACATTGTAAAACATTCGAAGGTGTTATACATCAAGTTAAAAATTTTCGTGTTGATTTCCTACGGTGAGTTGTATTTGGGATTATTGAGAATACAAAGTAGGCATTAAATCTGTACATTTCCGCTCGAGTATACGAGAATAGAAGACTGAGCAAGTGCCTGAATGTGTGTGCAATCGACACAACCAAGGAAGCTGCTCACTTCATGTCACAAAGCGATCGGACAAAGTGTTTCTCTCAGATGTGAGGTACTTGTGAATGTGTAAGCAAGGATCAATGAGCAGTCAACAAGTTAGTTATTCTGTGAAAATTCTGCCACCGATGTGAATGCCGGTAAAACTGCACCACGACAAGAGCCTTCTCAACTCGACTGTTTAGCTCAGATGAGAATAAAACATCACATGGTGGTCGTAGTAATAAAGGCAACGGTCATAGCTGCAGTAGTAGTAGCAGTGCAAGTGGTAGTAGTAGTAGTAGTAGTAGTAGTAGTAGTAGTAGTAGTAGTAGTAGTAGTAGTAGTAGTAGTAGTAGTAGTAGTAGTAGTAGTAGTAGTAGATTGTCAGAAACATCAGATTTTATAGTCAGTCACTAGTGGCTGACGTCAAGTGGTGGAAGAGCAATGTTTTCACGACCAGCATTGTCCCCGACCACAATTATTCAGCAGCTGGACGGAGGTTAGTACGATAGACGATTTGAATGCACAGAATGAGAAAGGGGCCCAAAGATATGGAATAATGAGCTGATGAATAATAGCTCAATATTCAAGCCGATCCAAGTGAAAACAGATGTGGATAACGGAATCCGACGATATTGCAAGTCCATGGAACTAGTGACCGATGGAAAACTGTACGTAAACCACTCCCCTGAATTGAGCAAAATACTGACGCATCTCAGTGTGAGAGAGTATGGTCATTTGCTTGATCAGTGGAAGCAAGAAACTTTTCTTTTCTGAGCAACGTCAATGAAAATATTGCACATTACATCCATCTTTCGCCTATTCGTTTCATATGTGAAATACATGATTCGATCAGATAATCCCTACTCATTCAGATTCACCGAGATCAATTGACTCAGTCGGATGCCAGGTTACCAAGTGATCGGTGAGCATTGTTCTATGTTGCAGCTCAGCAAATCCATATACTTGAGAATTAATGTAGAAAATGAACACCGATTTGGAATATCAATGGTGGCACACCTAAATAATTCACTTATTCCTTCGCCACGTCACTTCGAGCCGACTCGTCAAAATACTTCCTTTATCAGTCGAAGTACAATGACCTCAAACAGTCACTCTGTCAGTCAACAAGCGACGACATTCTTCCAATAAATTGTATACTAACTCATTCACACAGTGAACAGCAATTCTCCGCAAGCTGCAGCACACTGGAAAGACTGTTATCCTCGAAGGTTATCTCATTCGCCCAAAACTGTTTGCTCGTTGACTAAGAGTTGTAGCATTTTAGTATCCCAACTACCCCAGCAGTACTAGAACTTAATCACTGTCACACTCGATCTTGCTTAACCCTTGTCATCTACCCCTTATTGTATTTCGTGGGTTACACACCAGTTTTTACTGGTCAAGCAAATGGTTCCGATTCACACAAAGTCACCATTTTAAGCTGATGCAACTCACAGCCAGGCATCGGTGTGTCACTGGTGAGCGTTGGATGGTAGCAACTTTCGTAATCAAAAGTGGATTCCTATTGGTGATTTTGAACACCTACAACTATGGCTGCTCAGATCACATGTATATAGTCAGGAACATGATTTCTCCTTTGCGTTTAATTCTGTCAATCTTCAGCCAAAAATGCCTATCTTTGATAGAGTCCACAACCATAGATAGTCCTTTATTGGTTTCGGTTATCCCTTGGGCGGATGCTTATCTGACGATTAACTAGCAAGTTATCGCTTAATGAATCAACTTACTCACCGTTTAGGACCATTACATACAGGATGATTTGATTTTATCTGTTATACCGTTTAAGCATAGGTCGTTGCAATAATCGTGAGAAAACAGTTGTAGTCGAAAAAGAGCTATTTTACATCACTTTACAACTCCGAAGGTGACTATTCATTCAATCAAATGAACCGAAATCCAAAGTAGCTCTAAATCGTACATGCAATCGTCGTCTTGAGGTTTTCGACCATCGATGTTTCCGTAGTGTCGTTATAATTTGATGGAATGACAGAGTAGGCAATGCTGAGGTAAGCGAGAAATCGCAAATAATGTGGATGCGCTAAAACATTTTGTAGACTTAATACGGCTATTGCATTGTACAGCCTAAGATTCAGTCTTTCAGCGTCTTGTCCTATTGACCTCCAAGCTATTGTTTCTAATGTGGTACTTTTGACTCCATGAATCCTCAGTAGTCGAA